CACGTGGCCAAGCCAGCGCAACCTATGCAGTGTGATCAGTTCATCTATCGAGGGTGAGTTATTTCTCCCGAATACCATTCGATGAAGTTCAGCAATGCGGATCCGGTGTTCCCACAAGATTCGGATAATGCTCCGAAGCCATCGATGGTCAAACGCTGAACGTCTTTTGACGTCCTCAGCGCGCAGCGGCCAGGTTTCTGATCCATATAGTAATATGGAGCGCACCGCGGCATTGTAAACTCGACCATTGACAGAGAAGCTGATGTTACGCCTACGCCACAGGTGACGTAGGTTCGCAAAAGTTGCTCTGGCCTTCCCAATCCGGATGAAAATATCACCTTTTGCGAGACCCCCGGAACTGATACAGCTCACCAGGTAAACAAATTTGTCTACTACCTCAATCGGTTCATCCCCAAGCGTGGGGCTAGGGTTTGAGCCCACCTAGTCTTGCAGTGGCACTTTAAACTGCATGCCGAACCATGCGCCAGAATCACATTACTTAATATTGTTTGCAGGGCGTAGGCCTAACCCGGGCGCGCAGGGAATAAGGCGTTACTGTCTCATTCCCAATGCGCTTGCCCACAGCAGGTGTCTTTGGAGCAGCACCGGGCGGACTCTTCGGTTTTAAAAGTATTTCGACCGTATTGGATAATGCGTCGGCGGTCACGGTCAACCGTTGTGCGATCGGAGTGTGCGGCTTTTAGGACCGACCTTTTGTAACCCTACCTTCCTCGGGGGATGGCATCATCGCTGCTTCCACAATTCTGGACATGTTGGTCGCCTGAGGGAAGCACCATACTGCCTGCAAACCCTTGTCACAGAGGATAGTACGACTTTACCTCCGGACCGCCTCGCAGCACGATTACTCATAGTGCGGGGTCTCGTTGTTCTTGGTCTGCTTGCACCCCTTTGGACTTCCTGGCATGGTTTCGCCCCGTGGAACGACGTTCTAGCCACTGTAGCCCGCGGGATGATTGCAGCGCTTAAGCCCGAGCACCACGCCAAGGTGGCAGCTTTGGGTCGGGATTGGGTTGCCCGGAGCCAGAAGGCTCTTCCCAGAAGCCTCAGGGCTAACAAGATCACTCACGGGGAGGTCTTTCGAGATCCATGGGACCCGGAGTTGAATTAAGCCACCATTTACATAGTCGATCTAGATTACTGGATGTATTGCAATACACACTCACCCTGATTCATGGATAAGAAAATACCAGTTGTAGAACATAAACCGGCTGATTATGGCGTTCAAAACATTTCTTAATACAGCAGGTGACTGGTATTGCTCTAAGAGGCCAGAGCTCTTGTTTTAACAAGCTGAAAAACCCGACAGGTCTACAGCTATAGATGCCCATGAAAGCGAAATCGCCTTGAGGAGATCAAAATTTCCGCCCAAACGTTAAGTCAATTAGTACTATTGGTGCATTGAAACGAAATTACTAGAGCACGTGACAAAATGTAATCACGTGTCGATTGACGTGTCCAGTTATGGTATCCGCTGAGCCAATGTCTATATGCGATGCTAACTATGAGGACTTAATCATGAATTATAACCTAATCCAATGGGTGAGGACGGTTCTTGTTACTCACAGCTGTTGGTGATATCGTTCATCGTGGCTATTTGTAGTACACATTAGGGCTGCACCAATGTACGCCGATGATCGCGATATCTCATCTATACTGGGTATCCCAACTCAGCAAAGGTACTTCATCATCACAGCCCTGTGATGTCCTCTTCCATGTCCATGCTTCAAAATAATGAAACCACCTTGTCGAACGGTGTTCATTTATTAGATGGACTAGTACAACCATAATGGGAAGTCACTCCGTTCCGTCTTCTATAATTTGGTTTCCCACGGTGATGAAACTACAATGATGTATATAATTACGTCTAACCTCGCTTAGATCTTCACTATTCACGCGTCTTACTGTTAGAAAGGCAAGATTACACCTTGCTCAACTAGTCCCTTGGTCGATAGTGGAGGATCTGTGTGTACACCCATGTGTAACCCAGTGAAATTAAAGCTAAGGGAGTCTACATGCAAGGCATTCGTACGAGCAGCTGACGTAGACTTCGTTGCTACGTTTCAAGGACATCATAGCCTTTAAACGTGCACCCAATGATAAAGCCGTAGCGCAGGCTTAGTGTGTGAACGGGCATTTTCGGTCGAATGTGTTCCTTTCGAGCAATGAAGCCCTACTTAACCCCATATTTGGTTTCCGACACTTATACTGTATGGCTAAATAGCAACAAGGGTTTCGACGTCACTATCACAACTCCTAACCATCCCATATTCCTGTGCAGCAGCACTATCATCAATCAGGGGATCTGTTTCTGGATATCACATATCAGCTCCAGAGGTTGCGTTTGTAAACGATTGTTTTGAGCTCCTCTGCATCCGATCACTGTCAAAAAGCTTCCCTGTTTCAAAAACACAACACGTTGAAGGTCGCTAAAAATTTCAGGCTGCCCTAAAAATCTTCTCCATGACTGACACATGGGTTTGTCACTGTTCATGCCGAAGTGCTGCCACATAACGTCACCTCCACAATATTAACTCTCCGCATAGATAAGCTATTAGGATAACCACTCCTAATATTCTCCGCCTCCCAGCAAAATGAGGATCCGACTTAGAATTGCAATGCCCACAACATATCGTTGCCCTTGGCAAAATGTCTTCCAACCAACATCCAAGAAACTTACACCACGTCTTCATGTCTTCACGTCTTCGTGATTGGATGGTCGCCGGACCTATGAATATCTATGATTTAATCTCTCAGTGTGCCTAGTCTGTCGATAAACGCTTGTCCTACCTGGTTGGCGTTTTTGGCCGCTCTAGCTCTGAGCATCCACCATCTCTTTCTGAACCACGTCCGCCCGCCTGCACCTCATGTTACCGGCGACACGGACAACGATTTTCATCTCAACTTCACACTCCCATCTCAGAGAGCGCCGGGAATCCATAGTCATCCTAATATTCCAACTTCTGCGGTGAGGAAATTATAAAAATAATGCAGCATTTCGATCACCTGTGCTGGTGGCCTAAACTTGCTCTGGTTTTAGCGTGGGATAATAGTAAAGTGAGCTGCTTGTCTGTAATGCAATTTGGCGCGTAAAAGGGTAAAATTGCTGTCTCATATGCAAGTTAACAGAGGATCGGTCAATGCAAGTTGAATAACGGGATTTTCGGCTAGCCAAGGGGTTTAGCAGAGGTAAACCAAAACTTGATGTAAGATTGCAGATATTTTCGGTTGAGATATCTTTGGATGTAGAGCACCGACTATACAGATGGTTCGAATCAGGCAATGCCGAAGGCTTAAGCTTTGAAAGATGGAAGAACAGGGCAAGAAAAAGCGATCCTAGTAAGTTTGAGGAGGTATCAATTCGCATCAAGTCCATTATTAAAAATATTTAAAGGTTGTTGGATATGTTGTGGATAGAAGGGGCGACTAACTGAGAGAGGACAAAAGTAAGCTTAGCTTAGTGGCCTAGCAAGTAAAGACTTGCTACGCCTGAATTGCTCCTGGATTTCAAAAAATTTAGAAAATGCGTGAAATAAGAAGCGCATTGTGTCGTCTCTGTCTATGCGAACACAATGGAGCATCCGTTCTTAAACACTGTCGAAAAGGCCTCCTCTCTGCAGCGTGCGTCCAGCCAGAAGTGATCAAGTTAATCGTTTCAGTCAGGACGTTCAGTGAGTTTCTTTCGGTAGTCAACACACGCTCTCCCGAGTGCCCAGCGAGGTCCCAGCCTCACTTCTATGACGACCGATATGTAGTGTCATGGGATGAATTAGTGGAGTTATTGGAAGAACCAGATAAATGTGTAATATGTGGGTGTTGTGGCGCAAGGCGGTGCGCGGCTTGTTGTTATTATTCAGATGAGGCAATAAAACAACTGTGCTTAGAGTACTGAAGCAAAACAGTAAAAATGTCAATGAGGCAATGGCGCATACAATAAAAGGCAGCTCAAAATATCACGAAGCTGATGATAGCCAAAAATTACAAATAATTTATTGACTTCATGCTAGGATCAATGGGATCGCGATATTCTGGTGACACGCGTTGCTTTAATCAAATGCGAATATGACAGAACCCCTTAGCTGGATGATCTGCCACTATGGTCTCAGCTAGCAGTGTTGTCGTCAATGAAGGCGGGTAACAAGTGTAGGGATGTGATCAAACATTTCCCAAAACCAAGGTTGAAACCTACTTGCCGTCGTCGCTAGCCTGTTTTACTGAACGGTTGGGAGATGGGCGTTTAGTATTCACTGGGGCGTAAAAATTGTAGAAGAATTTAAAAAATATGCGGCAGAATGATATCACATATCTTCTCGAACGGTCCAATAACGCTCTTTTCGAAGCTGGTTACTGGAGCTACAGAAGAAAACAAGTGGTCGATTAAGGTTTGCGGTGAACAATAGCATATCGACTATGGACGGTTGTATGATGTTACCTACACCGCTGGAACAGTTCTAATTAGTCCTCGAATTTGGATCGGAATACATAATTTATTGTTCCAAACGCCGCTGACTATTTGCACACCCAAATTATTCTCGCCGAAATTATAGGGTTTTCGAAGTTGTGACTTTAACAGGGAATTAGTTTAATCCATTTGCACCTTCCGGTGCTATGTTGCACGTAGCACTTTGTTTAAGTGAGCGAAATTTCAAGGCCGCAGACCATTATCGGTTTGCATTGTCTTACCGGTTTACGTGACATAAAACATGAAGTCGCACTTTAGCATATTTTGTCGTTCTTCGGTGGCCTTTAGGTATAAAAAACATCTAAAGAATATCTAATGCAAATTTCATTTTTGAAAACCGGTTGTTGACGTTTGTTAGCTTTACGCTCCTCAGCTTCAACAAATGCGATGGTCACAAAACATTTTCCCGTGGATTTCTACTCCTATTATGTACAACACTGTGAGACAACAGCATGAACTATGCAGCGGCAACGTGAACGCGATCTCCATTGACGACAGATCATTCCGAGTGAGAATAGGCTCGACCTACTCCTCTCCAGGGCCGGTCTCCATTGCAGTTCCTCAATGCTCCGTCCTGGAACCATTCCTGTTTCTGATCTACGTCAACGACCACCCAGGCGTCCTTGCGAGTCCATGTCTACTTTTTGCGGACGACTTGAAACCCTGGAGTTCCAATGCCAGCGCCCTCCAAATGGATGTAGACGCTGCAAAGCAGTGGTCGTTGGACTGGCACCTTCCTCTGAATGATGAAAAGTGCGTCCATGTGTCGTTTGGAGGGGATTCAGCGAATGCCTTTGTTATGCATGGTGAAAAGGGACCAGAAAACATCATGAGGATAGATGCCAAAAAAGATTTAGGCATCTGGGTCTCCTCAAACTTGTCCTTCGCACTACACCATGAGAAATCGGCCCAAAAGGCATTCGCCGTTTTACGGATGATCCGACGTACCTTCTCCCGTATTACTCGCATGGACTTCCAAATACTCTATGGGGCCTACGTCAGACCGCTCCTGGAGTACGCCAACCAAGTTGTCTACTCAGGACGCACGAAAGACGTCACCCTCATTGAGCGTGTCCAGCGGGCCGCCACGAGAATGGTTGCCGGCCTCAAATCCGTGGACTACGAAACGCGTCTTGCAATGCTTGATCTCTTTCCCCTGGAGTACCGTCGCCTCCGAGGTGACCCAATTCTTACTTATGCCCTGTTTGAACGAAGTTTGGCAAACAGATTTTCCACCGTTGACCCAGAAGACACACGGCGGGGACATAGTAAGAAATTTTTCAAGCTCAGAGCACATGCATTCATTAGACAAATTTTTTTATCATTTCGGGTAGTAGGTGCGTGGAGTCACCTTCCTCCGACGGTTGTCCACGCTCCTTCTAGAACCCAGATTAAAGCATTATTAGACATTTAATAATGCGACTCCTTGCGCTGGCAAGCATACTGCCCCGCGCTGAGAACATAAAGAGCAGTACTACACCATTTTTCACTTGTGCCTTTCAGGTGAACGACAGCCACTGACCGACAAGAAGAAAACCAACCGTTGAACCTTGGGCAAAAGCCTCGATCCTGTGTATCAATCCGTGAATCCGTGAATCCTTGACGATCACCTTTCCCAGACATGCATAATTAGCTTGTAGAAAATACAACGTCACCAGATAGCCACAATTATCATTCCTAGTATGAATATGACGCTCTGTAGTTGCTGACCCCCCATGAAGCGTCATGATAACGGCAACCGTTGTTACTCACCTCGACCATAGTAACTGCTGGGCCCGTGTCTATGTGCGACGCAGATTATGGGGCCTCAACTTTGCACGGCAGCCTAATCCAGTGACCAACGATGGCCCATTATACTCATAACTCTATGCGCTGTCACTCATCTCGAATACTTAGTGTAAATGATAGGCCCGAGTCTGTGTGCGACGCAAATTATGAGATCTCACCCATGCGCAATAACAATCCAACGGCCAGAAGACGATCTTTCACACCCATACCTATATGCGATGCCACTTATTGTTGCTACCCATAGTAAACACTAGGCCAGTATCCAAGCGTGCTGGTGAAATAAGGCTTCAACTTTACTTGGTAGCCTGATCTATTGGCCTGTCATACTCATTGCTGTACTTGATGTCGCCGTGCCTGGCTGCTTATCGTACCTGCTAGTTCCGTGCCCATGTACTGCGATGATTAACCATTTACTTAATCCAACCCAATCTGTCGTACTCGTATCTGTAAGCTTTTTTGCTTATCTTTGTTACTTATGATAAACACCGGGCCAGTATTTATGCAAACCGACGAATAGGAGGCCTAAACTATGCACACATATTCAACCTAATGACGAACGGCTGACCTCATACTCGCAACTGTACGCGATATCGCCTACCTTGACTACTTTTTGAAACTGCTAAGCCAGTGCCTATTTCGACGATGATCATTAGGCCTCAAGTGTGCGCGGTGTCTTAATTTAACAACCAATGATTGCCAGTAACTGTGTGCGCTCGAACTTGTCTGCTATCTATGGTAAACACCAGGCCAGTATCTATGCCAGATGATAAAAACTAGGCTCCAACTATAAGCAATATCTTATACACTATCTAATCCAAATGTCTCGTAATGATAATGATCTACCTGGAGACTTCAAGGACACATTATTCAGTGGAAATCATCGGCGCACAACCGAAAAATCACTCTGACCGTCCCCTTATGGACTTGTAGTAGTTGACGGCCCTATGGAATCTCCAGTGAACAGAACAGTTTACTAATGCAAGCCATATACAAAAACAAGGAGAAAAATTCAAGTAAATGTTGACTCAGTTCAAAATACGAGATTATGTAGTTCCGTATTCCGTTGAATCACCACACCAAGAAGTAAAATTCTACCTTCCTGGTGTTACAAATTTCCGGCGATCGCAATATTATTACACAAGTGTGAATAGATTAGTCCATTGTTTGTAGCTAAAATTTTTGTTGGCATTTAGAGTTAGCAGCAGCCAATTAAAGTCAACCGGTAGTCAAGACAAGTCACTCAGCAAAACTCTCAAAGTCACGTTGGACCGAAGAAGCTGGCGGTTGCTATTGTATATCAGTGAAACAAACTTCGTACAGTAATGTGACTGATATTGATAGAGAAAAGGAAAATAATACTGAGCGTAAAAAATGGCAATTTGCAAGTGCTACAGACGTGCCGACACCGACCCACACGAGCTATGGTTTTGAGACAACCGTTGTCAAACACCTGAAAACGCCATGGATCTGCTTCTCAAACAGGCCAGGTCTCACAGCCATACAACAGAACAGCCCGCACTGCAGCCTGATACACACCTTACTTGATATTCACAAATATGCCGCCTTGACGTCATAGGTTGTTGAAATTCGCCAAGGCGACCCAGGCATTTCAGGTTCGTGCATTGACCTTATTTGTCACGCTACAATCAAAACTAACGCAACTTCGAACGTATATAAAACCCTGCACTACATTACCTATCCAACGAAATCGGAAAAATACCTGCGAACTTATACAAGTTTTGTCCTAACTCTGAGGATTTTCTCGGCCGAACAAAATATATCTTTCTCCACAGAAGTACACATACCAGCTCAATCATCTCAAAAATGTCGCCCTTTACGAGGTCGTCTAGAAACCGAAATGTTTCAGTGCAATAATGGCATTGCACCGCGATACCCAGTGTATCATCCGTCATGTTGACGCTGAGGTTCCCCACGTTTATTCTGTCCCCATTCGTAACCCCCGCCCCACTTTTGTGTTTAGTGTGTATATATGAACTGACGTTTGTTTGTCCTTACCACTTCACCCATTTGGCCTTGAGTTCATCCGGCCATTTGTATCTGACTTTGCACGTGTGACTGTCGCACGT